TTGCCCCAGTTATTTGGTAATTATTTGGAAATAAAAGCTATTGAGGGCCTTAAAAGTGGTACCGAGGATTTAATAATGTACTTTCAAAAAAGTGCATGCTGAAAGCTTGCAAAACAGCTATGAAGCAAAGAAGGTAAACAACAACAAATTACATTTACATGGCGTCTTTCACGTCAGGAGGACATCCCAAGGCGCTGGACAGTCAGGGATTTTGACCCGAGCTGGGGGTTGGGATCAGGAGTGGTGGAGGGCAGGGAGGATAGAGGTAGGAGAGTGACCAAAAGACACAACTGCAATTATTTAGAAAAAAAATATCAAAAAGTCCATTTTTATTTTCTGTCACACACACAAAAATAACCTGAACACTAAATGGACAGGCTGTGTGAAGTCTTCATAAATTCACTTACAAGAAAGGTCGGAAAAGAACTCACTCACAAGGTACGTGTACGTTTATATGGCTTTTCACACAAAAAGGGGAACTGCATTGCTTAACTCGGTTAGAAGAATGTCATGTGGCTCCTGCACATTTTAAAGTTTCCTGCCTAGACGTCAGCACTACATTCAAAGTACTTTTTAAAAATTATTTTCTATCACTCCCGGCCTTTGCGTTACAAGGCAGCACATAGCTGGTTACTGCTAATTTATCTGAGAACTTCACCATATATTTTAATAAAAAGACATTTCAATAAGTGTTACCAGCAGAACCCATTTTGCTATTACGCGGCCCCATCGAGCAATCAATCTTTCCCAAACAACCATTTTTTCACCACAAAAGCAGCAACATTCCATCTGCTTATATTATCAACTCAGAGGGCTGCTCACTCCTAATTGCACAAGATCCAAATGCTGCAATAATTCCTTCAAAAACTACTGGTGAGAAACTCCACCTGAGTCTAGATCGACTCAATCTACGCAGCATGTTAAAATGTGCAGAAGTTGGGAAATCGATGGATTAAATCAAAAATTTGACGTCGGCTTTTGTGGTTCTTAAAAGAACTCATAGAAAACTGGCTTCAAAAATTACGTTGTATTTATGAAATGATGAAGTCTGGACACTCGAAAACTGAGATGCAATTTCTCCCTTAACACAAGTATCTGCTTTGGTTCAATATTGGAAGCTTTAAGAATAAGGTCAAAGATAAACAAAGCTTCGATGAGGGATTGCAGCTTAAGTGCTGCAGGAAGTGGGAAGGTTTGTGCAGGAAAGATGGGATAATGATGAGCTGGCAGTGAATGGATCCTCCATAGTTTCTGCTTGATTTCCTTTGGGATTCATAGAGTACCCACAAGAGTGGTGGGATAAGTGCATGATTAGGTAGGTGTTGTAGCGCCTGTGTAAGTAGCGAGCTTGATAGGCTAAATGGCCTTTTCCTCATTCAATTCCTTATGCTTTTGGGTTGCCAATGATTCATATATTGGCCACCAAGTAGCTTTAGTGGAAATGGAAGAGAAAAAGAATGCCAACCCACTGGTGGAAAAACTGCAGCATTACTCATTACAACTGCAGCATTGAAGTTAACATGAAGAGCAGCAAAAGACTATCAGGGAGCAGGCGACTAACAAATGATTGACTTCTCCTAACCCTCTCCAGGCTACATTATTGTTCACCAAAAATCTACACTGGAATTCTTGTACACAACATGAACATATTTAAATAATACCGGCATTTGAGATTTGTGCAAGAATTTTTTTTAAAAATGTTGACACTGTATTAAGCTGCCGCTTTTGATATTAAAATGCAACTAAGCTTTTGATAAAACTCACTAGTGAATGTGCGTTATTTACATCTCAAGAGCTTTTAAAATGCTACACACAGATTTAAAAAGCTTCTAGAATGTTCCACTTAGCCTTAACAACAAAATGCAACAAAAGCACCTTCCACATCGGGAGGTCGTCCCAAGGCGCTGGACAGTCAAGGGTTTGCACCTGAGCTGGGGGTTGGGGTCAAGAGGAGTGGAGGGCGAAGGGTAAAGAGTGACTGGAGGCATGGTCAAAGAGGAAGGTCCCGAGACAGGCCTTGAAGGAGACAAGGGAGGGGGCGAGGTGAAGGGGCAGCGGGATGGAGTTCCAGTGTGTGGGGACAGAAAGATGAAGGTCCAACCATTGATGGTGGGGCGGGCAGCGCGGGGGATAATTAAGCAACTATTATTCCTAACAATTCAAATCTAACAAGGATCTTCAGCCAACATTAAAGTGAAAGGCCCTTGTGTATTCAAAATATCTCTCCCTGCATTAAACCCAAATTAATTTCAACATGATTTTTTAAAAGGTATATTAATTTACAAATTATCATCTGATGCAGTTTTAGAACTCAGAATTGCTTATGGATACTCACAAGAATGTTAACTTTGAAAAAAACCCACAATCTAATGTTAAATTGTTCATATAAACACCAGTGCAGGTTTGATGCAAATTCCACCAACATTTGGGCAGATTTAACTATATTCCTTAAACTAAATGCAATCAATGGTCTTGTGAGGTGATTAGCAATGGCTGCCACACAGATACAAGAAACTGTTTATTCCATCCAGGATAATATACAGATTAAAAAAAAACATAGAACTCTACATATTTAAATATCAAAAAATTGATTTGTGTATGTACCTCAGGTTCTGGTCTCTTTGGAGTTTTTGTTAAAAAAAAGCCACCTTATAAGTTGTTGGTCTAAAAAAATAAAATTGTAACATCTTGTTTTGAGACATGGCAATTACCCTCTCTAGCTTAAAAGGGCTTCCATGAAATATGTGCGTCAAAAGTCCAGATTTTTCAACCCCCAACACTCCCCGTCAACTATACTACTCTTAACTAAATTCTCTGCCCCCAAAGTTCACAACTTCTTTGACCTGCAACTGACGCCCCTAACCCGAAATCTTTTGAGTTTGAAATTGAGCTGTTCCCAAGTCAGATATTCCCAGCTTGTCTTGTCATGCTTTTTTGTTCAGAATTGTTGCTTTTATAAGACATCTTTCCTTGCATACTTTCTGAATATTACTGTTCCCTTGCTAACACTCAACCTGATATTTTCAGAAAGACGTGGGACTGTTGATAGTGTGTGAGAAATCACCATATTAAATGTATGTAACCTCAAAGCATTAGCCTCCGCCTCTACGTGTATGTAACATCAAACCACCCCTTTAACAACAAGTATACTCTATGTTGTGGGTGAAGCAGCAATGCATATAGTATACATGTTTTTGGGAGGGGTGGTGCATTGCTGCTTCACCCACAACATATACTTCCTTTACTCCAGAGTAATGCAATCAAGGTTATTTAATTAATTTTTCCCTTAGATTTTGTGAGAGCTTTTAGGAAGATAAAATAAAATTAAGCTTATTTGGTCTTTGCATCTTCAAATGCAAGATGCCTTAAGAAAAATATAAAACATACTAGGATTCATATGTTAAAGCCCATATTCAAATACCTGTAATTCAGAACCGCAGTTGTAAAAATGATTTGCTTTAAGACTATTGAGGATGGTAATGCTCACCCTCAACCCAAGTTTGGGAGATTTTCAGGTAACATGTTACAGGAGTAATCTTTGCAGTAAAATTGATGAAGGGGTGTACGTTTTGTACTTACCACAGAAAATACAAGTTATATCAAAAACTACATTTCTGAGCACAAAATTGTGAAATGTAGTTTTCTTCTTAGCGGAAACTCAATAAAATACAAATACAGTGGGAAACTGTTAAAACAATACTTAAAGACAGCACTTTCACGCATTAAATAAACATCTGCTATAGAGCATTTAGCAATAAAATACAAACTGTACCTCGAAAATGCCTAAGTTAGCAGAAACATATACGTTTAACGGTTTCCCACTGCACACATTAAAACTGAGCTAAGGTTGGAGATGGAAACTTTTTCGAAAAAAGTCCCACTACCTTGAAAGCTCAGATGGTCACCTCAATAACACTGTCTTAGTTGAAAAGTTTTGCATTTATATTTATTTTGCTTTTTTAAAAAAATAAAAAGAAAGGATGATGGGTTAAGGCTATTTTACAGCACATTGCCAAGGCTGGAAAAAGTAGGGGAGAAGGGAAGATGGAGCAGTGGTGGGTGGGTAGGTTTTTAAGCGCTCCGAGACTCTGCCCCTCTATATAAATACAAATTGTTGTTGTTATTTTAGATGTGCCCTTTTGTTGAAATTGTGAGTGGAATCCATGAACTGCATTTTCAGTTGTCCCGTAAAAAGATCAAAGGTCTTTTAATTGTTTTGTAAAGACTGGATCATTCTGGATGGAGTTTCCAGGATTTTTCTGAAGGTGGGGGGAAGGGAGGAATTTAATCTCTGCAAAGAAATGATACTTGAAAAGTTCAAGTTCCACTGATCTATTACAGATTAACCAATGTTAACAGCCTGACATCCTGTCTCTTATTTAGTGGTCTATTCTGGAAAACTGTGCACATATGGATATCAGACAAGAACAGCATCAGGTTCAGTTGTAATTCCCCCTCCCATATTCACAGGCCCACGAGTGAAGCTCACACACAAAGGTTAGCCAGTTAAGCAAAAGGACCCCTGTCTCCAGAAGATAACGGGAAATTAGCCCAAGAAAATAAAGAATGGATCAACTGCTTTTCGCTAGCTACATTGGTGCAAAATATTTAAAAACAAAGTTCTGAAGTTATGCTGTGTTGCAAGTGAAAAGTTTGGAAAAAGACAGTAAAATTGAGTGTGACAGCACAGTTAATGATCATAAACCACAAGACGTGGGATGGTTGAGTCAACAGGATTTCTTTTGTGAATGAAGACATTCGGTTACTGGTCAGGTCAGGGCACAGGGGGAGTGATGTAGTGTCCCAATCTCATTGATTTAATTGGGAAACCTAGAGCAGGTTCTGAATCAAGTGGATCTGAGTGAATCTGCCTCACTCGATTCAACTTCTAAGCTACTTATGTACGCAAGATGTTTGTACGGATCTGGAACATATAACCTACATTGACTCAGTGGCACATTTTGGGCTGCCAATTTCGGAATGAACTTGCGTCAAGTCCGTACGGTTCATTGAATTTAATTCTGGATTAAATACAGAATGATCCCAACAATGTAAGTGGTGAATCTGTGTTGGCTTCAGATTTACAATTACATTTCTTCCCCCTGACATTTGAAAAGAAAACAAACCATCCCTTAGACAGACAGTTTACCGTGTTCACCACACAAAATGAATACTGCTTCACTTGGACAATGCAATGGGAAAAACATTCAAAATACATTATAAAAGGTCAGAAATACAGCATCCAAATTACTGCACTGATCTTCACCAACCCATTAAGTTACATGGACCATCAGGGCTCTGCTATGCCACAGGTTCGTTTGGTAAATCTATTTGTAACAACACTGCAGAGCCTGTCAACAGCCATGTTTACATATGTTTTTGGTGAGTGATATTTTGTAGTCCTATTTTGGGGGCCTTGGCTAGTAAACAAAACAAACAATGACCATAGGATCCTGTCTCAATTGACAGACATAGAATGAGGAAGGAGGTGGTGGTGTGGGGTGTTGCCTCTTCTCCTCTCTTCTTCCAATGACATAAAGTGCAGGTCACCAAGGCATCCCTTGGTGGGTTCATGTGAAAACTTTGGCCAGTATCAATTACATCGGCTGTTTTATTTTGAGGGTCATTGCATTTCACAATTTCTCGCTCCTGTGCAACCATGGGAGTGGCTGTTCATGTAGTCTGCCCCAACAGAGGCACGCTGTCAACGCACAAGCTAATGAGCCAGGCTACAGCATAATACAGCAAACTGTATAGGCACTGGGGGAGCACCAGTAGAGGCAGCCATGTTTCAAATCAAGACTGTTCAATTCTCAGTCTTCTGGAAAGAGCGTACACATAACAAATAGCCAACCACCAGGACATGAGAGGGGGCTTTCTTTAGGTAATGTGACCAGGGCAAAACAAGAATGAGCAATATCTTTCCCCTCCCTCTCACCCTCAATCAAGTTACTTTCTTGGCAATATCCCACCTCTGTTCTGTCAGGAATAACTGAAGACATCTGCTTCCCTCCCACCGATCCTTTGGACTTTTTTTTGTTTAAAAAAGTTAAGGCTTGTAAAACACCAACATAGGCCCAGATTACCGGGGTGGCTGTAATTTCCACCTCACCCGTTCCCCAACCCTACAATCAGCTGTCTTGTTTTACATTTAAAAAAAACACAAGCTTTAGTTCAAGGTAGGTTTCCCCCGCGCCCACCCACCCCCCCCCACCCCCCAATCAGTTTGGCACCTAGGAATTGTGTTTTTTTTTTGTGTGGAACACACCGAGTAGATTGTAATCTGTTTCCTCGATTCCCGTTTGCATTATTCGCTGGCACCTTGCATCTGTGGCGTTGATGTGATCACAGCAAGGCCGGAGCCTGAGCCTGTCGACTCCTCCATCTTAGGTCGTTTGGCCTCGGGCTCGCCTAGAGACGTTGCTGAATGCTGTGGCTCTGTGGTCAGGTGTTTGCTCACAACTACAGGAGAGGAGGATGTGGCCTGAGCAGCCAGGATCTGTAGTGGGTTTGTTATAGCTGAGGAGGGAAAGAAAGTTACAATTAAAGTTTGCTTTTTATAGTAGTTTTATTAAAATTGAAACCTCTTACAAATATCTTTGGAAATTGTTAAGACAGTACACCACTGGCGGGTGGGGGAGGTGGAAATCTTTTTTACAGAGGTTTCCCCCAATGATAAATGACACCTCCTGTTTCAGAGGGATAGTGGCAGCAGGTTTGAGTTGCTGAGGTCTTCTCTAAGGCATCTGTGAATGATACCCTGTGGTCAAGTGACATTAAGTCTGCATCTGTGGGGCAAGCCTACACCTGATGAGCATTTCCTTTCCATGGAGTGCTCCACTGCTCCGTCTTCTGTCCGGCTTGAGAAGTCGTGGAAACTCCACCATTGAAGGCATCCAAGTTTAAGTGTCAGTCAAAGCTGACACAAATACAACTCAGAGTTCAAATACAACTCTCTGGTTTTGAATCCAGAGTATACACCTCTGATAAAAAAAACACTGCTCAGAGGTTAGAGCACTCGCCTCGCAAGCGAGAGATCCGAGTTCGATTCCTGGCATGGTGCAACGTTGGGCAAGTTTCCTTACTCCACACTCGTTTGTTTACCAAGCAGAAAGTTGGCGGATCGCTTTTCTAGGGATAATAATTCCTTCAAAAAAATAAAATAATAAAAAATTGGTCACTCAATCCCCAACTGTTTGTGGGACACTGCTGTGCGCAACTGGCTGCTTGCGTTCTGCCCACAAAATATATAAATCAATTCAATTTACAGTATATTCTGTGAAGTGCTCGTAAACATGATAAAGCGCTATATCACATGCAAGGATTAGTATTAAAAAGGAGGAGCAGCGATAAGGCACTTTATGTAGTTGACCACAATACCAATCTAAGCCTCAGCCAGAATCTGCAAAGCTCTAAAACAAAACACATATTCTGGGTAGCACACACTGATGTTTCCTGAGGTTAAGATGTGTATAAAGCTGCACAGTACAAAGTTGCCCGGTTGGTGCAAAGCAACTTTGGAGATCGAAACTCCTGAAACAAGGGTGTTTGAACGCTGTCTGAGAAAAATAGATCGGTGCTATTAGGGAAGAAAAACACAGACCAAGCAATAATTGTCAATCCATATTCCGTACACCTGATATCCACACTAACAGGAGCATTTCTTTTAATAACATTTTGATATTTATCAAGAAATTGTGTTATTTTTCCAGCAAGATTTCAATAGTACATGCAAGAGCATTTTACTATACTATTATCCTGCAACACTTACTGAAGCTAGTAAACCATATGATCCAACAGCAATGCAATACTTTGAACTTATCAAGACATGGAAAGGCATTGGAGCTCCCTACCCGATCTCCACTGCAAACATACCCTGAAATAATGTGGAGAGGAATACTATAAAATTATATTTATATAGAATTATATAAAAATAATGGTGTTCATTTCTGAACAGTAAAATGTCCAACAGGTTTAGAGGATACTTGATAAACATGCTGTAGACAATCTGAAACTTGAGGTGGAGCACTGCCTTGTAACACAATCCTAGGTTTATTAGAGTGCGGTAATTTAAGCTTAAAGCCGTTCGGACGTTCATTGAAAAAAAATTGGCCAATTGATTTTTATGGTTTAGGATTGCTGCTCAGTTGCACAACAGCCATTAGTTCTGATCAGTAATTAGCTGCTGAATAATACAATACAAATTACATTTGTATAGCGCCTTTCACATCACGTTCCAAGGCACTGAATAACTCATGTTTTCATGTGTGTTCAAGTGTTATAATGCCCAACCATTCCTTCAAACCAAGAATTGGATAGGTATTTGAAAAGGAAACATTTCAAATGCAGGGCCACGGGGTAAGAGCGGGGAAGCCGGATTAGCTAGATAGCTCTTTTCAGAGGGTCGGCACAAGCAGGATGGGCTGAATGGCCCTCCGTGTATGCTGTAAGATTCTATGAGAAATAAAATGACCTACCATAAGTATTTCCTTGAAGGCTTGCCAAGGGAACCGCATGTTTACCATTCTGAGTCACTGTCTTCACTGGAAGCTGATGCTGTCCCATAGAGGTGGCTGGTGCTTGCTGAAGAATTGTGACCATCTGCCCAGGTACATGTTGGGACATCTGACTGCTCACGGTCTGAATCACCCTGCTGCCAGTCGGTACTGTAGTAAAGGTCACCAAGGATTTATCATCAAGGACTCCTGCAAACAAAACAGTTTGAATGGAAGCATTCATTCCCCACCCGTCTTTTAAAACATTTATATTATTATTAATAATAATATTATTATTAATAATAATAATATTACAATGCCCTCCTTGTCGGTCTCCCAAGCTCTACTAGATACAAACTCCAACAAATTCAGAACCCTGTTGCCATATACTCACCTTTCTAAACTTTGTACCCTCATCACACCAGTCCTCGCCAGGCTCCACTGGCTCCCTAGCACAGAACGACTTCAAGATCCTCACACTTCATCTACAAATCCCTTTATTCCCTGACACCTCTACACCTTTCCGACCTTGTTCACTCCCCACTACACCACTGCCTCTGCTTGCTCCGGCCTCCTGCGTGTCCCTAGTCCTCTCCGCTTTACCATCGGCAGCCATGCTTTCAGTCACTTCGCCCCGAAACTTTGAAACTCTCTCCCTCAATCCGTCCGTCTTGCCCTTCATTCTTCCCCTCTTCAGATCATGCCTGAAGACCTTCCTCTTCGAATGTGCTTACATATTTCGAACCCCCTCCCTGCTCCCCGCTCGGCGTGAAGACTCCACCATTGTTAATTGCTCCGAGTCGCTACCCCTCATGAAAGCACCATATAAATGCAAGTTGTTGTTATATTACACCGCTGTTAAGCGCTCCGAGACATTAGCCATGTGAAGGGCCCTATACAAATGCAAGTTGTTGTTGTAATCATTAAAATTTGGCTTAGCGCCATTGAGGTGTTTCTAAGCACTTCACAGGATTCACCTTAAAAGTGCAGTGACCACGTACCTTTGAAGGCAAATGCAGACACACACACACACACACACACCACAAATAGCCAGAACTGCAATTACAATACTCACCTTTCTGGTCACTGGAGCCATCGCGTAATATCTGTCCACCTCCGATATGACTCTGGTTGGTTAGGATGTAGCCATTGGAGGAATTAGCTGCTGTGGTTACTACCCTCACCATAGTTACAGTGGGGGCCTGCTGAAGGACATGAATGGCATGCCCTGAGGACTGTTGAGAAGTTACTATGGATGCAGGCAAATAGGCCACAGGTTTTGCTACAACACTGGATGGCTGGGGCGGCACTGCCATGATCACAGGCTGACCACTAACTGGGGAACCTAGAAATGAAAAGAATATAAATACTCTTGTGTCCAAATGTTGATAATCCATCATATTTATCAAAATAAAATACTCTGAACAGTCACCACTCAATCACCTGGTCAGAAGAATATTACTTAAAAGAAAAAAAAACAATCTTTCAAATGATTGTACAGTTTATCCTATATCTCATTTAATCCTAGTCAAAATTCTTAAACTGAATGCCTCAGAGTTTAGATTACAATTGGATTTTATTCAGCCAGTGTGACTGCTGGTTAACCCATCGAGGTGACATTCATCCATTGCTTGCAACACATTTGTATAGTACGTTGCTGTACCACAGAGTTGAAAAGCAATAATAGGCTCATACACTTGAACTTACATATGACAATTTCTTTGTTTTAACCCTAATTTTAACCAATCACATTGTGATTTGACCTTTTTGTACTCCTCACACGCTAATCAGAACTCCAGATTCTCCTCGCTGAATTCCGTCTGGATGTGTCTCACAGCTCACTCACTGTCCACTTAGTGTGATATTGTCAAAGGCATGGAAGGAGACTGATTGTCCTCTCACTTAGACAAGGTACGCAAGGCCTAAATAAGGTTGGGCAAGAAATCTAATAAAGAAATAGACTTATAATAATAATAATCCTTGCATTTGATATAGCGCTTTTCACGTCTTCTAGACGTCCCAAAGCGCTTCACAGAATATACTGTAAAGTGAATTGACTGTATATTTGTGGGCGAACGCGGCAGCCAATTACGCACAGCAATGTCCCACAAACAGTCGTGGATTGAAAGTGACCCAATTTATTATTGTTTTTGGAGGGATTATTATTAGGCTCTGTGTGGAGTAAGGAAACTTGCCCAAGGTTTCGCCCTGTCTGGAATTGAACTCAGGTCTCTCACTTGCAAAGCGAGTGCTCTAACCACTGAGCTGCAGGACTCCACTTGATCCAAGTGTTTGTGCCATTTGTAACTAAAATGTCTAATATACATTCTGTGAAAGTAGCTACACTATCTTGCAATTACTCAATCAATAATATGTTTTCTAAGTTCAAATGCCAAAGGGTCCATAAAAATTCTCTTTGGAAATAGAGTGCTTGCTTACCCGGTGCACTCTGTGTATAACGGACCTCTGGCACAGATGCCAGCTTTGAGCTTGTGAAATCATGATCGTGAGAGATAGGGGAACCTTCGCGAGACAGGCATTCAGGAGTCTGCAAGCCACTAGAGTGAGGGGAGAGAAGGCCGGGGTGGCTGGGTGATGCGGGGGCACTCCTGAAATAGCAAAACATAACAGGTAGTCAGGTCACAAACAAATACCCAAATTACTCCACCAGGAAGGAAGTGGTGCCATTCTGTCCAAATGGGCAAGACGCTGGGACTACAGTTGAGTACCCACCTTCCATGGTGCATTCTTTCATTGCTTTAATGTAAATTATCCTTCACACACCTCACAATAAGATCAACAATTAGCTCAGGCAGAAAAAAACAATCATTGGGAATAGTGAACTTCACAGGAAGTTTATACTAAATTTGAAAGCGATTATCTTCTCTCAACCACATAGTGCAAAGATCTCCACTCATAGACAAATCCACCATTCTTTTCAAATGATGCAACCTGCCGTCCATGCTTACACAACAAAATAAATGATTAGAGCCAAGATGAACAAACAGCCCCAGTCAAAATTGACGGTGAAAGATAGTGAGGTGTATGAAGGATAATACATCAGTGGAAAATTGATATAGTATCAAAATATAGAATGTGCAGTACTAAGAAGGATTTATTATGGTCTGTCTAGCCTTAAGACCCAATGTGCCAAAGTCAGTATCACTTTTGGATAGAAGCCCAGATGTCAGGGTAGGTAAAGGTATCGAGATACCTCCATAGGGCTGCCTTCAAAAAATAATTTAAACTCAATTGCTATTGATCCATGTGTTTTAAGCTCAATTAATGAGTTGTTAGAACATAAAAGCTGCACTTTTGACAACCAATCGAACCATATGCGTAACTTCAGGTGGTGTTGCCATTATAAAACTATTAGATTGACATAAATGTTAATCTTTTGATTACAATGGCTTAGATCTCTAAGAATGTAAATGTAATGAAATTTGCCTTCAATTTGGAGTTGAACAACCAAACAAATTCTGCCCCATAATCTCAAGAAAGATGAAAACGAGTCAAATATTCAAATGAGCTTTAAGAATGGCTCCGATGTAGTTCTGAACAAAACAAGTTGGATTGACTGGTGGAATGTGCCAAAACAAAGACTGGGGCTGTGACCATCTCAAGTTTGAGAAAATCAAAGCTACGTGCATTCCCATTACTCAAGTGATTGAATTCAAATTTAAGCAGGTTAGGAATGGTGTTGGGTGTTTCTAGTTATTTATGTATTGCATTACAACAATGACATTTTAGCCTATGTCATTGTTGTAATTGGTTGAGGTTTAAACCAACTCAAATTGAAGAGCCGTAAATACCCAGAACAGAATTCACCATAAACTAGCAGTTGCTAAAATGTATGTATAACACTAAGATGAATACACCAATTCTCTGTGCAAGCTGGTTAGATATTGGGTCAGGTCCTACAAGTTGCCAGAAGACAGATCTGACAAAAGGTCATCGACCTGAAATGTTAACTGACTTTCCTCTCTCCATAGATGCTGCCCAACCTGCTGAGTGTTCCCAGCGACTTCTATTTTCATTTCCAGATTTCCAGCATCTGCAGTATTTTGCCTTTTGTAATTTGTTGCTGATGTATTGAGACAGTCCAAGATTTTCAGCAGAGTGAATTTAAGTACTTGGGATGATTTCTGGCTGATTATCAGAGCAGCCTGGGGTCTCTCTTCAAACCTAAAACATTCCTCAGCTGGTTCCTGCTCATACCACAGAGAAGGACATAGAAAAGGACTGGTGGGAAGTAACCATTTAAGTATAAATTCATCCTCAGTATGTGTCTGGGGAGCTCCAAAGATTCCGCTCTCATTACTGGGGCAGGTGCAGGTCCCGTTACGATTCCTCGGGTTATTTCAGAATGGCTACTCTGCACCTTTCATCTTCTATATCAATCTCCATCTGTGGTTAGATTGTGAACATGGTCAAAGCGTTCCACGATCCTCAGACATCTGAAAATAAAATTCTATTGCAAGTGTAAAAGGAAGGTCAGCTTCCAACCTGGAAGAGATGGGTCCAAATGGTGTCCTGAAACAAGAGACCCCTCGCTGCCTGCGTTTCCTGAATGCCTGCTCCACCAGCTTTGCCTCCGAAGAAGGGTCAATTCGCCAGAACGAGCCCTTTCCAGGTTCTTCCTGCGACCGTGGCATTTTGATGAAATATCGGTTCAACGAAAGGTTGTGGCGAATTGAATTCTGTCTCAGACAAAAAGAAATGGAGAGTGTTGCGAATTGTACTGTGGCCAAGTGTGCGAATGGAGACAAGCAGAATGGATTATAGTCGTTTAGAATGACCAGCAAGCACATCAGATAATGTGCAATAAAAGGAGAGGGCCATTATTTACCAATAAGACAAAATATCAGGAGCGCATGTAATAAACAGCTTACGCTGCACAAACGAGAGACGGCCTATAACTCAATATCCCTCTGGAACTATCCAGTGCACATTACATTCAATCACACACCAAGATCTTGCTGCACATTATGGCAGCCTGTTATTGCTTCTGCAATGTAGTCCTACATCCTAATATCTCGTTTCTAAGCTTGCTTCCACTAGCCATTTGATTTTGCTGCCTCCCATTCATGCTTGCAGAAGCTGGTACAGTTGTTCTAGATTAAGCACTCGCCTTTGCTTTTTCTCTAGGTTGAGCGTATTTTGAGCTTTAGCTGTCTTTTTTAATAATAATTGATGTTTTCCTTAACAACTCTTATTTGTCTTTACCTCGGATATTCAAAACAAACGGCCGATGCTAAATGAATGTTTCAATTCTAAAGACTGAACGAGCAGTGACATCGTGTCTCAAAACATTAAGGATCAATCCCCAGTATCTAATGAGAGGAAGAGACTTCTGAAGTGTGGTGTTATTAAGTCATTCACATGATAAAACCAAGTAAAAAAAAGTCACATCAAGGCTCTGTTTTGGGATATTTCAACCCATGTAACGTGCTCACCTGCCACCCTTTGTCAGCTGTCCTGTAGTAAGGATAATGCTTTGTAATATGCGCATAGATGCCGCTTAGTGTTAATTGTTTGTCTTGAGCAGAAGATATGGCCTGCACAATCAGCTGTGCGTAGGAATAAGGTGGCTTTGAATCATCCTGGTAAAAACACACAAGAACCAAAGAACAAGATTAAAAAAAAGCAGACATCAACATATCAAAAACAACTATTCCTCCCACTATCCCCTTAATCACAATTTATGTTTATAACTATCTTAATTCTTTTCACTTCTTTACTATTGAGTCATTCTTAAAGAACCCCAACCAATGTCTCCCAACCAAGTATGAAAAATCTGGAATCCAAATGATAAAACTTCCACTAAAAATCGAGTGTTCCATTGATATGATGCAATGTAGCTAGGAGACTGTAAAGCAATTTTCCAAGTCACCCTTGTCTCCTCATCAACATTCTGAACTTAAGAGACATTTCATCTAGCAGCTTTAATGAGGTCTAAACAAAACTGGTGTTTATCTGTCCCCCATCTTTGTGGCTCAAACTCACTGACTGCGAGAAGTAATCACTGGGCCTCCAATGGTATAAACTTGGTTGTTCACATCATGGCTGTTTGTGGACATTGCTACATAGAAATTAGCTGCAACGTTCGCCTGCAAATACACAGTCACTACACTAATATAGCAAAAATGCACAGTCACTACACTTTACAATATATCCCTAGGAATCGCTTTGAGATGTCCTCCCGACATGAAAGTCGCAACATAATAATAATAATCCTTGCATTTGATATAGTGCCTTATCACGGCGTTCAGTCGTCTCAAAGCGCTTCACAGGATACACTGTAATGTGGATTGACTGTGTACATATTATAAAGTGGATTGACTGTGTATTTTGCTATATTAAATGTAAGGGTTATTATTATTGTTCATTTTGGGGCTGCTGCAAGACTGACTTTCAAAACATTTTCAAACCTTGGGACTGTCGCCCCCGGATGTTTCGGCCTGTTGCTCGGACGCTGCTTTTTCTGCAAACGCGGCAGCTAGCTGTAGATCTCTGGTGATATTGCGTCCGAAACGGTAGCCAGAAGAGCCGGCGCCTCGGGGACTCACGGGGCAGGAATTCGGAACACTGTTAGAGGACAAAAAAATCCACGGAAAGCTGTGATCAATGCAAGGGGGCAATACTACAAGCAAAAGAAAAAAAACCCAAAGCAGTTCACCCACAATTATGGCTTTCTCTGAAAAAGTGAATTTCTGCTGTGCGCAATTGGCCACCGCATTTTGCCGACAAACACACAGACACTGCACTTTACAGTGCATCCTGTGAAGCGCTTCGAGACGTCTTGATGACGTGAAAAGATGCTGTATTAAATGCAAGGATTATTATTATTAGTTAGAAATTTGTTGAGGGGGGCTATGATGTGATTTCAAAACATCCCCATCAACCAGCTGATTTTTAAAAATATAATAAATCTTTCTCCTTTTTAATGAGTACTCATTGCAAACCTCGACTCAGATTTTTTTTAAAAAACAGAATTCTTTCTGTGCAAGTTCAACAAAAAAAAGCCCAGTTCTTACTTTGACAAGTTACTGCCTATGCATTGGTCAGAAATATGAAACCAAATAGCAGAACGTTAAATGTCCCAACTGGGGTCAGTCCAGCTTCCTGTTCATTCCCACCGTACAGTTCAAAGTGCATGAGGGCCAATGCCTTTACACCATTTGCTGCTGTAACACTGCAGTAAATTTTCAGATACTGTATTTGCACTGGGATTATTTGCACAATCCCGATATAAGAGGTTCCAGATGTCGAAGACATTTCACTCTGAGGTAATCATATAAATTCTGCAACAGATGGACATGGTAACTGCCCCCTCATTCCATCCGGTTTCGTCCCTCTTAAAAAGAAGATAAAATATTTCTTCACCAAACACAGCTGCCACGAGATGGCAGTCAAAACAAACATTTGAGCGTCGAATGCAGAGAAGAGAGAATATCAACCATTTGTCAACTGCCAAAACATTTGTGGCTGGAGTCTTGTGCTTGCGCCAACAATCTCCATCCTGCTGTTAATATTTAATTTAAACCAACTCTCAAGTATGAGATCTATAATAGGTCGACCCCACAATTGTTTGCGTTCACTACAGACTTATTTAAGCAATGCCAATGGTTGTCATCTGCAGCTGGGTTGTTGCCCGTGAGGTCAGCTTGCGGATGAATGGGGCAGGAGAAGGATTTTATATAAAATAATTAAGGTAGTTCCAGCTCTTGCAGTTTTCTAATGATATGTAATGCTACCCAGGAACACTTATTAACTGTCAGATGCTAAGATATCCCTCTGCCTTGTCCCCTCCCTCCCAACCTTCAAATCCCATTTGAGACCCTCATGTTTGATCGTGCTTACGGTCATCTCCCCCTCCCTCTCCCCCTGGTTCGTTGTCAGACTCCGCCACTGTTAAGCACTCTGCTACCATGCGTGAAGCATACTATATAATGTATAAATGCAAGTTGGTGCTGATATCCAGCTTATATTTCAGCATGCATTTACTGCTGAGGATTGGTAGACGACCAATTTGCCTACCCATAAAGAAATTTGTACCTGTGTTAAACACAGCTCTCTGGAATAAATGGCTACTGAAAGTGATATTGGAGTCCAGTATCCATCTTGTGTAAAGATGCATGTACAGAAAGGAAATTAAACGTGCCCTTAATTGCATAATTAAACAATGCCTTTGGTTACACAATTAATGATTTTCATTGATTAATTATGATACTAAGGCCATGTGTAAAACTCTCTGTACACATGCAACAGAAATATTGCACGGATACTTTGGCATCTGACAGTTAACAAGTGTTCTGGGCTATTGGAAGGAGATAGTTCAAATCAATAGGGCCAACGGCTCTTTCTTGTTCTGTACTTCCTCGTGACATTATAAAACATCTCACTAATACCAATTAAATGCCTTCAGCTCCCCTCTCGACTCTCTACCCCCTCCTCGCTCCCTCCCTTCCCTCCCCTCACCCTGACCATTTCCCCCCAATGCTCGGGTCCTGACCCAACTGTACAGCGCCTTGGGACGTCCTCCCGACGTGAAAGGCGCTCAATAAATGGAATCTTGTTGTTGTTGTTGTTGTTAAATGTGTGAACATAGATGCGATTGATGTTGAAAGCACTTACGACACCCATATAGTGAAATCACATACTGAATTCCCACATCGAAATATGAGTTTGACTCTGTCATTAGCATTCTCAGCCCAGAGGCATAAAGACAGGAGCTGCGGGTTTCAATGAGGATGAGGTGAGGTCATGGAATGTACTTGTTAACGGCAGGTTCCAGATTCACCGCCGTGAAATGAACTACTCTGTACGTGGTTGACCTGTCTTCTCGGCTGGCAAATGGCCTGAGTACTTTCTGTGCTGCATGAAAGGGCAGCACAGAAGTGAAAACATCTCACAGGACACGGAACACAAATAAATATGAAAAAAACACACTGATGGATGGGAACATGACTTCTGCCATACATTGCCTTCAAATTCAGTCCTGAAGCACTGCAATTAACTGGCTATGACTCCTGTAAACTGGTCACCATTTGGTGTAGTGTTGTGGCTGCTGCTATATTTTGTCAAAATCTAATGCACTAACCACAAACACAGATCTCCACAAATCATGATGATAGTATATAAACAGATGGTGTGATTACCGTCGATTTGACATCACCGTATTTCAGGCTATTACAGTGTCACGCTATCCATCCCTGGTGTAAACAGCAGAATATTACCAAAGGGCTGGAGTCAAATCTGATGGTTCCGTGAAAACACCACAATCTGTTCAGTGCAAACAGCAACCGAGGGGTCAAAGTACAGCCAACAAATTCAAAACAATGGAGAAAGCAGTTACATAGAGTTGCAGAGAGCGATACGGCAAGGAAACAGGCCATTCATTCAGCCTGTGTTTAATACTCCACACGAGCCCCCAATCCTCCTATTCTCCAGTTCTAAACCCCTCTATTCCCTCATCTAATGTAGTTCATACTGCGTTTCGTTACCCACGTACTTAGTATGCGTCTTGTTAAAATTCTTTCGTCTACAATGTTGGTGTTGAGAATGTTTAATTGGGCATGCTTGCATTAACGCACGCGCGTTTTAATCCAGTGATGGGATTTTATTCTGAGTGACTGAGAAAACAAAGGGTTGACACTGTCTTTTGGAGTAGGGAGGAGAGACGAATGGCTGCATTGTGTGTGTGTGTATAGGGGGGGACCTGAAAGCGAGGACTGAGATTGTGTATGGAAGCTGGCACTATGGGGGGGGGAAGAAAGGAAAACGGCGCGACACCTTAGTCACAAACTCCTAATGGAAGAAGTATTTGGATTTGGTTAGTATTGTATAGTATACTCCCAATAACTTGACCTGAGCTTAATTTGTCTCGACCAATTACGTCAACGTGCTGTCAATATCCCGGCCGCATTTATTTTTGTATTTATACATATGCCTCACTCGCCGATCCTGATAACTTGTCATGAAATGCAAAGTACAGTAAAGATAACTTTACTTTGTATTTCGCACAATGACCTAATATCCATACTGTTTTCGCAATCACAATAGCGCCAGTTAATGCTGATATCAGGCTTTCGCATACAGTAAATGAGAGGATTCCAAAGGTTATCAGATAGAGCTAGAGTAAACACACAATGCAGTTACTGATGCAAATCTGATGCTTCATAATTTTGCCCTATCATCAAATTGAGAAAGAGGTATGTCAAAGAGAGGGGAGAGTAACTCAAGCAAACAGCGAGATGTACACTAGCGGGAGCTATGCACGTACACAGAGACCAATGAAAGAAGAGGCCTGGATGAATCGGAAAGGTTTTTGTTAAAGAGGCGCTTCCCAAAGACGCTTCCCAAGAAAACAAGTTCTCTTTCGCAGATAATGAAGTAGGACCAACCAAATGTTATACTTCCTTTGTTCTTACACAGCCCAAGTCACTCTCTCTAAAGAAAAACACAATGTTCTCTACCAATGAATCTTTCAGTGGAGCTGCTGGGTGAATCTCCATAGTACTATGAAATACTTCACAGCTGTTTGTAGGACATTGGCTGTGTGCAAATTGAGATGTCCTCCTGACATGAAAGGAGCTATATCAAATTATTGCTATTTACATGGTAGTTCATTTAGGTAGTCTATGGATGCATCTCTATCCTCAACTGTCTTTTCTTCCCCACGTCCAAGCCATGACCAGCTCTGCCTTCCCTCACCTCCGTAACATCGCCCAACTCTGCCACTACCTCACCCCTCAGGCCGCTGAAACTCTTGTTCATGCCTTCATCACCTCCAGGCTCATCTATGCAAACGCCCTGCGTGTCGGCCTTCCCAACTCCTCCCTCCACAGGCTGCAGATAATCCAGAGGGAGGGGAGGGGTAGGGGGGTGGCCGATGGCATGATCGAAGAGGAGGCCTTGGAACTTCCTCCCGACGTGAAAGGCGCTATACAAATGTAATCTTCTTCTTCTTGTTATCTCGTCGTTGAGACGTCTCAAAGCGCTTCACAGAATATACTGTAAAATGGATTGACTGTGTATTTTGTGGACGAAACCCAGCAGTCAACTGCACACAACAGTGTCTCACATACAGTTGTGGATTGAGTGACCATTTTTTTTTAAGGAATTATTACCCCAGGAAAAGCAATCCACCAATCGACTAAACCGGGTTCCTACTTATTTCTAGGTAAGCAAGAGGTGAGGTGGAGTAAAATATAAAATTTCCAACTTGCCCAAATTTACGAACTACTTGTGTTAAACTATTTTCTTTCCCCAAATAATCACAGGTATACGAGACTGCAGAGAATTCATAAAACAATATCAATCCTTGCATTTGATATAGCGTCTTATCACGTTGTCCAAATGTCTCATATTCACAAGAATTTACCGTTGAGCGAGTGTAGAGACTGTGCATTTGTTGGCAAACACAAACGCGGCAGCCAATTTGCACGTCTGTGGCTCAAACAATCTCAAAATACTGCTGTTTGTCCACAATAGAACTTGTGGTTTTTATAGAGCCGTTGAGTATACATGACTGATGAGTCAATCAGACTGGGTCTTCACATTGTAAAGCCACTCCAAATAGTTGT